CATCTTCCCTAGCTGGCTAAACAGCAGGGCTTTCCCAGCGCTGACGCTGCTGCACAGCCGGGGTGCCCTCCAGCAGCCCTTACGCGGGTGTCACAGAGGGCTTAGAGCATCTTGCCTTAGGGTCACTTTGTTCACGGTGTCTCCTCAGTTCCATACTTCATAACCTGATAGTCATTAGTAAAATTAAAGGTTATATTGAGTATATATCTTTAGGATTATAGGTAACTATTAGAGTATATATGATTATATAAAGGAATAACTACGTGCCTCCATTTCTAATTCTTTTCTAAATCGATGTTTATATGGGAACAGGCTGAGCTTGAGACCCTTGCCCCGGCACTTGCAGGGCTCCCCTCCACACCTGAGGAGCTGGGATTACAGGTGCCCATCACCACACCTGGCTAATTTTTGTAGTTTTGGTAGAGACGGGGTTTCACCATGTTTCACAGTCTGGTCTGAACTCCTGATCTCAGATGATCCACCCGCCTCAGCCTCCCCAAGTGCTGGGATTACAGGCATGAGCCACCATGCTCAGCCAATTTTTCTTTAAACATTTATGCCTGACTCTGATTCAAATGAGATATAAAACAATTATCGGCCGGGCACAGTGGCTTACGCCTGTAATCCCAGCACTCTGGGAGGCTGACGTGGGCAGATCACAAGCTCAGGAATTCGCGACCAGCCTGGCCAATATGGTGAAAGCCCATCTCTACTAAAAATACAAAAATCAGCCTGGCATGGTGGCGGGGTGTGTACTCCCAGCTACTAGGGAGGCCAAGGCAGGAGAATCTCTTGAACCCGGGAGGCGGAGGTTGCAGTGGGCCGAGATTGTGCCACTGCACTCCAGTCTGGCACCTGGTGATACAGCAAGACTCTATCTCAAAAAAAAAAAAAAAAAGAAAAGAAAAAATTGCCGATTTTTAAAAGCCACTTGGTAAATTAAAGCTAACCAGTGTAATCCCTGACACGTATTTCTCCAGGTGAGACCCAGGCTGACGGAAGGTTTGTCTCGCCTGTTTCTCACGCTTCCTGTGCTGGGCCCAGGCTGTCCTGCTCTTCCCCATCGTCTGCTGTTCTGTGTGGCCACAGAGACTTTACTCCAAGCTGACATCCAACTGACCACATGCATCAAAAAGGAGAGTAGGCTGGACGTGGTGGATCCCGTCTGGAATCCCAACTCTTTGGGAGGCCAAAGTAGGCAGATCTTTTGAGGCCAGTAGTTCAAGACCAGCTTGAACAACATGGTGAAACCCTGTATCTATTAAAAATACAAAAATTAGCTGGGCATGGTGGTGGGCACCTGTAGTCCCAGCAATTCAGGAGGCTGAGACAGGAGAATTGCTTGAACCCAGGAGGCGGAGGTTGCAGTGAGCCAAGATCGTGCCACTGCACGCCAGCTTGGGCAACAGAGCAAGACCCTACCAAAAAAAAAAAAAAAAAAAAAAAAAGGCCAGGTGC